GTGTTCATCAGAGGCTTTGCTCCCAGTGCTCCGAGTATAGCCTCTTCCTCCCAGGGCTGACTCTCAGCAGGTATTTGCCTGAATGTTAGGGACGATGATCATTGATTCAGTTAGGCAACTAATACCTATGTCTGCCATACCCAAAAGTTTTCTGGAAGAGTTTAGCCAAATTATTCTGTCCAACATGTGTGCTGGTCGATGACCAGCATAAATATGTGCCTTATCTCAACCCTGGCTTTCTTCTTGACTCCATTTTGAGGAAGTGGGGGCATCCTTCCCTGAATTATTAAGGGGATAGTCACCTCCAAAGACAAGTAGAAATTCTCCAACAATCCCCCATGAATATTTTCACCACTTTTACTAATGAAGAAGCAAAGATATATATTTAAAAAATAATTTTATTGATATGACTCCAGTCAATTCATAGACAAAATTAATATGACAGTTGTCTTTACCTTAGATTTATTGTGACTTCTAAGTGCTTGGCTTATTATTATTATCCTTATTATTATTGTCAGTGGCATTTCTACAGTTTTGTTACTTCTCTCCTTGTCAGGCCCCCGCTCATTTATTTCTATAATTAGAAAAACATGTACCTGTCTTAGTCAGATGCTCTTGAAGTCCATCACCGGGAAGTGAGGGATTTTAACAGAAGTTGACAAAATGGAACCCAGACTTTTTGCCTATCATTATCTTTCTGAAGTGGCACTAATAGAGATGTTCAAATTTTGAATTCACCCAATAAATATTAATTGAGCAACTTCTATGTGCTGGGCAGCATTCTAGAAATTGGAGACTCAGCTGTGAGTTAGATAAGGTCTTTCTCATATGCTGACTTATGTTTGTTAGAAGGTGTCGGTTGTAATATGCTCTTTGTCCTTTCTCTATCTGTCTTTTGGGGACAAATGGGTTACAAATATACAAAATAAAATAAAAAAATAACTCTTTTGAATGGAAACTGAGTTCTTCTCCAGTAGTGCTTTATACTATGCTGAATATGCCTCCTCATATTATTTTGGAAGCAGGTAGGCTATACATGTTAAATGAATATTATGTGAAAGTGGAGCAAAGACCCATGTTTTGATCACCAGCTATTATCTGAAAAGTTAACATTACTATTGCAGTTTCCAATACAGAATATTTTGGTTTTTTACGGAGTCAATCAATAAACATTTCTTGCCCACTTACTATGACTCTGGAGCTGTAGCATATGCTGTGCCTTCATTTGAATGGGAAAAGAGAGTTCCTTCACTACCACTCTGCCAGGATGTCCAACATCACTCTTCATGTCTCATGTTCCCCTGGAGAATTTCTCAGTCATTATAGTATCTGTGCTCCCACCTGCCCAGCAACTAAAAAAGGACTTTTCACTGGACTGGAAATTTGAGTTTGAACAAGTTATGACATTGTTGGCAAAGGCATAACCAGTCTCATTGCTTCTACCTGCATCCTGCTCCTTGTTTCCCACATACCCTTAGTTAGATCTTTAAACCAGACTGAGGGAACCCTATGTATCCCAGCTGTGTCTATTCACCTTTTAAATGACATCTTCTTCCCTGTGTCTGCACAGGAACCTGCAGAGACATTTTATCTACAGAACTAGAGAAGGCTGGCCCATCCTCCTTTCTCTCCTCTGTAAGGGCACTTCACTATATTTCTGATCTTTCACTAGGTTCAAAGAAAGTGCAGAACTCTCACTATGAACTACTTTAATACTTGGACAAATACAAGTATATTGCCATAGTATCAATGATGCTTAACAAGAGTGAAATTTTGTTATATAAATTTCATCTCAATAAATTATTAAATAAAAAAGAGTGAGCCATAAAAAGGTACTTGTCAGATCTCATATGTATCTATTAACACTTTATTCTGGTTCTTTTACTGGCTGCACGAGAGTCTGATAGGCATGAAAACTAAAGCATGTTAAAGAAAACATTGCTTAGGATATCTCTAGCCCTTCAATTTTGCTTCTCAAAAATATCTTTTGTTCAATCAAATTGACAATAGTTTGGGTTACCTAAGATGTTATTAGAAAGAATTGGCATACATCAATAATTTTTAAAGCATTTAAAAATCAATCCCATTTAAGAGAAAATTTGAAGTATTACAATAGTACTATTTATAGCTGGCAAAGGTAGATACAGGGCCAAGTTTTTCTTTGCTTGGAAGATTGAGGTATTCCTATGATAATTGGAAAAAAGTTAAATGCATTGAGTTCTCTCCCTGCTGAATGGATAATGTTATTTTTAGTTCTGAAAGTTAGGCATTCATGGATTTTTGCCTAGAGCTCTTTTGTAACATGATGAATGCAAACATTTGGATATTTTAGAATGAATCTAAAGTTGTACTACAAGGTGATTTAAGTGTATTCAGAGAAGAATCCTGTGTGAGTAGATATAGTATCCATTCATTCACTTGTGAGTATACAGTGCTTAGCACAGGCACTCAGTATTGTTAAATCAATAAATGAATGAGAATGTTGACATGATGCCTTATGGATTATCTCCTACCAGAAATTACAAGCTCCTCCAGGTCAGTGATGCAATAAAATTGGACTTGGAGTGGGTGAGACAGGAGAGATTGTGAGCTCAAGTACAGTCTGGGCCACTCACTCACTCACTGCGTGAATTTAGGCAAGTCATATAATTTTTCAGGGATATGTCTTTCTCTTTTAGAAACTGCAAGTATTGTGTTGAGTGTACTGAGTGATCTCATTTCTCTCAGCTCAAATGTCCTTTGTCTTAAGTTAGCTCTTCTGTTTCTAGTTGGGAAAGGTAGTGGGTGAGACAGGAGAGATTGTGAGCTCAAGTACAGTCTGGGCCACTCACTCACTCACTGCGTGAATTTAGGCAAGTCACATAATTTTTCAGGGATATGTCTTTCTCTTTTAGAAACTGCAAGTATTGTGTTGAGTGTACTGAGTGATCTCGTTTCTCTCAGCTCAAATGTCCTTTGTCTTAAGTTAGCTCTTCTGTTTCTAGTTGGGAAAGGTCGAAGGGGCCTGACACTTTGGGGCTATGCCCAAAGCCAGTCTTGGAAAACGTTATTTTTCTCCTTGTCTCCACCCTCAACAAAATACACTTTCAATCCAGTTACCTTTAGTACTGTGAAAGAAATTTTACCAGAAAATTACCTGTAGTTTAAACTATATTAATAGAATCAATTACAAGTACAAAGGAAAGACACACACACACAATCCAGCATTATCAAGCGTAAAAGCCAGTGTTTACTCAAAATATATTTGTTTCTGGGTTTCTGTCCAATCACTTATGTCTGGCCTCTTAGGCAAGTTTCTTCCCTGTATTTTCCTTTCTTTTCCCCTCTCCTCCCTTCCCTTCCTCTTCCCTCCTTGTCTCTTTCCCTCTACCTGAAAAATCTGTATTGTTTCCTTTAACCAATCTCTAAAATCCAGTTTCCCTGTATCCCTAATGATGTTAAGAGTCCCCCAGCTTGTCCGGGAAGGGCTGCAAGCCTGAGGAATACTTTAAGCACCTTTTTGAGTGTGTTCCCCCATTTGGGTACCTGGTTCTTCTGAGATTGGCTTCACCTCTATTTCCTGACTTCTGTCTTTCATGGTTCTCTCCTTTCCTGCCCACCCCTTCCTCTCTTGCATTTCTTATATTCCTGTATTGTTCACGTGACACTGGTCCCACAGTCTTGGCACCCATGTCTAGTCTGTGCCTTTCTAAATAGTTGTTTAAACATAGACGCTGTGCATGGAAACTTAAATCCTGATCATTTGGAAAGTCAAAGTTGCAAATGCGCTGAGAAATTTGGCGGGGGGAGAGAATTGAGAGGAGCTCTTCCTTTATCCATGTAGTTTCTTTCTTCATATCATGCAGACTCTCAGCTTCCTTTTTGTGTTTTCCAGCTTTTTAAGGGTTTCATCCCCTTTTCTTTGTTTTCTTACAGAGAAAAGAGGACTCTAAAATTGTAACTTTCTTAGAAATTCTCCAACAATGGAATACTTTAAGCACCTTTTTGAGTGTGTTCCCCCATTTGGGTACCTGGTTCTTCTGAGATTGGCTTCACCTCTATTTCCTGACTTCGGTCTTTCATGGTTCTCTCCTTTCCTGCCCACCCCTTCCTCTCTTGCATTTCTTATATTCCTGTATTGTTCATGTGACACTGGTCCCACAGTCTTGGCACCCATGTCTAGTCTGTGCCTTTCTAAATAGTTGTTTTAATATAGAACTAATTTTAGGTTTAAATTGCTTTGGGAATGAGAAATTGTGATTTAGAGAATATATCCCACTTTTTCAAAAGTGGAAAGTGTTTCCTATTTCTTTTTTTTTTTAACTCAAGAATAATGACCACTTTCTGTATTCAAATTTTGAAGACCTGGTATATTTATTACGAGTTATGCTACACACAGGAGAAAGTTAGAAATCATTCTGTGACCAGCATTCTGAGTTGTCACATTCTGAACGAATCTCTCAAAGCCCTGGAACTCATTTGCATTTTGTATAAAATTCTGATGAGATTTATTGTCTAAACCTTTATTATACTCTTTGCCTTCGAATCTATTAATTTCCTTATCAGGCTTAAAATATTGGTGGAAAAAAAGAGTGTTGCATAACATTTTTTAAACCATAAAGTTTTGCACAGAGGCCCTCTCAGAAACTCTGAAACCCGAGTACTTTCCAGGGCTCTTTGATTAAAACCTAGGGTGACTGCGATTTAAATTTTCAAGATACATCTCTAAATAAAGGCTGGCTTAAGTTTGGCTGTAGAAAACACTGAGCTGGAGAAAGGAAATACATATAAAATAATGCCAGAGATTCTGAAAGGGCAAAAGGACATTAGTCTTCCCACAAAATGCATGGGAGAGACAGGAGGCTTGATCTGAACTTCCAGGGTGTGGCTGAATCCTTAACTCCCAGTACCGTGCCTGACACTGAAAGAACCACCCAATAAATATTTGTCAAATGCTGTGACTCGAAAGAAAAGGACACCATCCCTCAAGCTCTTCTCTTTTTTCTCTTTCCTCCACAAAGGTTGAAAAAAATGATGAGGACCAAAAGATCGAACAAGATGGCGTCAAACCGGAAGATAAAGCTCATAAGGCCGCGACCAAAATTCAGGCGAGCTTCCGCGGACACATAACACGGAAAAAGCTCAAAGGAGAGAAGAAGGGGGACGCCCGCGCTGCGGAGGCCCAGGCCGGCGAGAAGAAGGACGAAGCCCCCGCGGCCGACGGGGGAGAGAAGAAGGACGGAGAAGGCGCCGCTCCCCGCGAGGCGGCCCCGGCCCCCGGCGCCGCCAAGCCTGAGGAGAGCGGCCTGGCAGGAGAAGCCCCTTCCGAGGAGAAGAAAGGCGACGGCGCCCCTGACGCTGCCCCGGGCCAGGCGGCGCCCCCGGCTGCCGCCCCCTCCGAGGAGAAGGCCGGCTCTGCGGGGACAGAGAGCGCCGCCAAAGCTCCCGCCGAGAACTCGCCGTCCTCCAAGGCCGACGACGCCCCCGCCGAGGAGGAGCCTAAACAAGCCGACGTGCCTGCCGCTGTCACTGCTGCTGCCGCCACGCCCCCTGCTGCGGAGGACGCTGCTGCCAAGGCAACGGCCCAGCCTCCGACGGAGACCGCCGAGAGCGGCCGAGCCGAAGCGCAGATAGGTGAGCGGCGCGGGGGCAGAGGCGCTGGGGGGCGGCCGGGGCCCTGCGCCGTCAGGGGACAGAGAAACAGGCCGGAAGGCGTTTTCAGGAAACCAAGGGAAGGCCTGCGTCAGTCCCCAGAGTGGCAGGACTGAGCGCTGAGGTGACGTTCCCGACTATCTCCAAGCCTCAGAGAGAACTCAGGCAGGTCCGTGTAGCAGCCACTGCTAGAAAGATCTGGCAATGATCTTAATTGGATTGATAGAAACAGTCAAACCAGATAATCCTGGTTAAAAAGAAATGTTTTGTGTGCTGATAGACTTAGTTTAATAAGTAATTACGGTTAATAAGACTTAGTTTAATAAGTAATTACGGAGGCTACATATATTTTATGGAGGGGAATTAGCTAATGTGCTGATAGACTTAGTTTAATAAGTAATTACGGAGGCTACATATATTTTATGGAGGGGAATTAGCTAATGTGATTATTTGGCTCTAGGAAGTGCCTGGTATAAATACAGCCAATTCCTTATTGATCCTGATTATTTAGTGTGTGAATTGCCTGCAGCAAAAACATGATCTCAGACCACCTTTCCTTATCCCACAATATGTTTCTGGGCATTCTCCCCACCATCAATTGGTGAGTAGTGTGCGTTTGCTCAGAGAATGTTAATTATAACATTAATTGGGGTCAAACATAATTAGGAAAATAAGTCTGTTGATGTTGCCAAAAACAAAAGAAAAGCCCCAAATATAGAACTTGTCGTGAAGTCAAACATAAATTATCATTTTATTACTGAAGACACTACTTTCCACCATATGCATAAATAATTGAGGGTTGCCTATGACTATGAAAAGGTACTGGATCCTCATCATTTTGGAGCCGAATTGGAGTGTTTTCATTGTTATTTTCCAGACAGCCTGTGCAGAATTGGAATAAAACATTCCCGGAGCAAGATAAATTTAACAGAACTTCACACCTAGAGATTAGATCACCCCCACCCCAACCTACCCACAGTGGTGAAGGAGCCCAGCGATCTCCAAGGTCTTTCTATAGTCTAGTGTGACCCACGAATACCTTTTAACTCCAAAGATTCTTAAAGATAAAGTCGCAACTGTGCCAAATTAGAAGGTTGGGCTTACACTTTTAGAATCCTGTGGATTTAACCCGTGATGTAACCAAGATCCAAATATGGCCTGGACCACAGTGTGCCCTTTGGAGAGGACCTCGTCCATGAGAGTGGTCTAGGAAATGTTTTGACATCTGACTATCAGATTGAGAAAGTATCCATTTCTTCAAATTAGATACTACGGGATGATAGATGGTTATTCTAGACATTTTCAGTTTTATTTCTTTCATCTGATTCCTAATATTCTTCAGTAACCTAGATTATATTATCATTGTTATTAGCATACTCTAATACCATAGATCCAGATAAACCCCATTTTTCTTTTTACCAGTGACTGATTTTAAATCTTTATTCTAACTACATACCTGCCCCAGGGGCCAGACCTTGAGGTTAAGAAGATGGGAATCTTTCCCTCGGAAAAGGTAAGGTACGTGAGAAAGAATGGCATGTTGGTTTTAATTTACTCAGCAAAACCAACCATGGTAACTACTTTTTTATTAGGTTTAGGGTTCAAGCCTCAAATATGATGTCTGGAAATCAGTTTGCTTATGGACAGATTACCTATCATGTCATTTCATAAATTTTATCATCATGTTTTTAAATACAAAAAATATTTTACATTGCTGAGACCATATTTTTTTAACTGGAATTTCTAAAATTTTGAATATAGACACAAAAACATAATATGACTTTATGTATATACCCATGGCTTGGACTAATAAAAAGAAGGACTTATTGAATCAATGAAAAGTCTAGTATATATTCTTAAGGAAATCCCATTTTATTAGTTTTCAAGTTATGATAATTCCAAATGAATTGATAAAATATTTTATATGTTTAAGTGCTCAATAAATGTCAAATATTGAATGAATGAAAATTGACTAAGTTTAGTTTATAATCATTTGTTCATTCATTCATATATTCCTCCTGCAACTATGCTTACTCTGTTTATTTATTTATTTGATTAAAAATATGCCTGGTTAGTGAAAGCCAATAGAGATCATGCTCTGTCCTAAATTTTACAAATTCCGACTGAAAAATGTCTCAATTATTCAGTTTGTATTATGTGCACTGAAAAGTGATTGAAAGTGCAGGTGAGGTTCAACTTGAAGGCAATCACAAAGAGTGATTTATTTTACATTGTTTCTTAGCTTTGGGTAGGTATTATCCTCTTGGTTAGATTCTGAAATGCAGCCTGTAGTTTCTTTCTATACTGAGTGATCTATGAGCCTTGTCTGCTGTATGTGACAAGCACAAATTACTCAGTTGTGGTGAATCTCATGGAATCACAGAAACTAGAGGTGACAAGGAGATTTATCACATCATATCAGGCTCAAATTCCCAGGGGGCATGTACCTCATTTATTCTATCTCCCATTGGACTTCATCCTAATCCAGGTTAAAATAGCAATGTTTTCAATTGGGCTGTACTGTTTGGAAATGGATGGCAGCATGGGTTGTTTTATGATGCTATGGTTGCCTGGAAGGGCTTAGAGAGATAATCTAAGAGGATGCAGTGAGGGTGGGGGGCAAAATAAGTCAAAAGAGAGAATCTAAGAAAATAATATCTGTCAGCAAAAGGGTAAAAATTTCAGATCAGATCTGACAATTGCTTTAATAAATATGGAAATGCTTTGTAAGCTGTAAATATATTATTTATTTTTATTCTTTTACAATATATGGGTTTTTTACAAGTGGATACCATTTGCATTAGGTCTTCTGAACTTGGTTAGTTTATTTTTTTAAATCCTCCCAACTATATATCTCCCTCTCCTTGCTTCGCCCTTCTGCCTGTCCAGTTCTCGATGTGCCTATGACCAAAAGACTTCAGTGCATTTCTGATGATAATTCTTTATTGGAAGAGGAGTGCTTAAAACATCTCTAGGACATTGCCCTCCTTCATCCATGAGAAGAGGACTTTCAAGCTCTGTTTAGTGGTTATGTTCTTGGTGTCTCCTGCTGATCAGTGTCACTGTGCTCATTGGCTCTTAGTGAGGGAATTCTCTGCTATGTCTCTTTTTCATGGTGGCGTACTGACTTCCCCCCCCCACAGAAGACTCCAAAATTTCTGCTGTGGCCATATTTAGTGATGTGGTATTGACAAGGTGACCCATCCAGGTGGCTGACAGTGGTATTGACTGGGTGGCTTCCATAGACTACTAGTCTGATTGATACTATTAGGGAGTGTAACTCAAATCACCTAGATTGTCTCTGTGTTGATCATGGCTACATTTTATTTTCATGGTCTCATAGCATCTTTCACATTGGAGTCATCAATAATGATCTGGGAAACAGGGGGGTTTTCATTTGCATTCTCTGTTTGAATAGAAAAATTAACTTAGTGTCTCCCTACCTCTCTCTCTCCTTCCTTTTTTCCTATTTCGCTCCCCTCCTTCTTGCTCCTTCTCTTCCTTTCTTCTGTTTTTCCTTCCTTTTTCTCTTTCATTTATATTAACTTTCTGTTGTTCTAGGTATTGGGGTTACAAAGATGAATAAGGTATGATTTCTGACTTTAAGAAGCTCTCATATTGTAGTGGGGGTAGGACAAAATTTAGGGAGTGGCATTGAAAACAATCATATTAATAATCTGAATTAAATTCTGTAAATAGGTATGGAGTACTTCTATATGCCAGTGCACTTTGGGAAAAAATATGAATGAGACAGTGCTTCAGTGGTCAAGAAGAAGTTTGACGCATGCTATAAAAATGTTTTTTATAATGTGTCTTGATAGCCAAACTGTTAGCAAAAAGAATAGATGAAATTTATAATTTCCAGAATGATAATTACGTGTAAAAAATGAAATACCTAGCTTATATTTCTAGATTTGGCAAAACTTTTTATGTTTCCCAGAATAGTATTTTCCTAAGGCCCTAGGTAACTATCCACTTTTTTAGTTCTCCAAAAGACAGATCTGCTTCCACTGAGCTGTGTGTTAGATGTGAGATTTCCTGAGGATATTTACACTTATTTGGTAGGGTGCCTCATAAGAGGTTTTGGTTTGAAATGTGGTTTCAGCCACTTTCCTAATTTATATACAACTCATAAAGAGTGAATATTTGGGTTGTGAAAGTCCGCAAATGCTGTTTATAAAACATGGGCACCCTGTCAGATGTTCAATTGTATACTGCTTAAATACTGTTGATTATTAAGCTTTTATGGAGCATTTTTATACTGCTAGAGTAATCATTTTTATTGGCTTTTCTTGACAACAACCCAGTGGCATTTGATAATATTATTCTTTCTATTTTTGTGTTCTGAGAATAGGGGCAAAGTAAATGGGTATTCTGTCTACAGACACAGTCAGTGACAAAACAGGGGCCAAACTGATAGACCTCTAAATACTCACCTTGACTTTAGCCCTACAGTTCTTTAGCTATCTTTTAAGGTGTTAGATTTTATTTCCATTCCTTTATTCTTTCTCTCTCATTCTCTCTCTCTTTTTTTCATTCTAGCAGTTGTGAAAATTTCTGATTATTACTGGGAAATACCAACCAGGACGTTCCTAGGCATTCTCTGTCCTACATGCCCTGTAAGATAATACAGAGGGAAAGAATGTTGAACTGGAATAAGGAGACCAGGGTTTTAGTCTCAATATTTCTACCAATCAGCTGTGAGATCTTAGGCAAGATCTAAGATCTTGCTTTTCTGGGCCTCAGTTGTGTCTCATCTTTTAGAGGAGGGGCTAAGATAGTTGGTTTTTTAAGTTTTTTTTTTTTTTTCAAGGGTTAAAATACAGAAGTCCAATAATAGGTAGCATTTATTAAGTGCCAGGCCCTCCATTAAGAGCTGTGTGGGCATTATTGCATTTAATCATCATAGCCACTCTGTGTGTAAGTATTGTACTTTCCTCTTCCTTTTTCACTGATGAGGAATCTGAGGTTTAGAGAGTTTA